CCCACCAAATTTGAGTGAAAATAAGCTTTATCTTGCACTAATAATGGCAGCAAACTAGGCATTCTGCATGCCTCAGAGAGGGTCCCACCTCAACCACGGGGGCTGCTTTTCTAATCTTTCAACTCCAAATGCAGCAGCCCCCCCCCTCCCACCACTGCTGCTGAAAATGAAAGCTCTCTTTGGATGCGTGACTGTTTAATATGTAATGTGATACCTTGTCTCACAGTGACAGGGTGACAGACGGGCATTGGCTCTATAATACAGAATTACCTTTTGTGAATCTCTGCCACAACAAAGCCAAGCACATTGACTCTCCCTAATATGCTAATACGTCCGTGTGCTCCAGATGTTTTGGAAGCTCGGGGACAGCTTCAAAGGTCTCCTTGTTTTCCTTTCTCTTTAACCCTCCTTTAGGCATCGCTTGTGTAAAATACAGGCACTAGATTTTCCTTCAATTTTGTATCCCGAGTAGCTAATGGGAGGACTGGCGGAACTTCTTTGTGTCTGAAACATAAAATTATAAAGACCGTTCTGGTCCCCCTGTTCAGATGTTAGGAAAGAATCTCCTTCTCTGTAGATGTTTGTGTTCTGAAATCTGTAGCTCTCACCCGTTGCTTAGCTGAAGGAATCTTTGGCCTCGTCTGTGTTTCAAATTCCTTGTCCCCTTTTACGTGAAGGCAGGAGGGCGAAGTTCGTGCACACGGATCTTCAGCCTCCGAGAACAGAAATTCTCCCTCTTTGCTGTTGCTGGTCCAGGCTTAGGATGAACCGGTTTGGGTGTATTGCCTTTTGAAAGCCTTTTTGTCGCTTGCTTACTTGGGAGATGGGAAGAAAAGCTCCTGAATTTGGTTACCTTGGGGTTTTTGGATTGTGAGCGTGGGCACTGCCCTTGTGGTGGCTGAGTGGTCTCAGGCCTGTGACTCGCCACTCCTGCCAGCTGATGGGGACTTGCCGGGGTCACAGGCGTTCCCCAAGCTGCCTTTACCCCAGTGGTTTGGAGTTTTCAGCTCATATTTATTGCTTTTGTGCAAGACAATAGGCATGGTTTAATTTAAGTTCCACCTACTGAATATTAATAGAGGAGAACGAGCGCTGGGGTGGGGAGACCGAGTCTGTGGGCTGGTCCGTTTCCTCCGGTAACCTCCTCCCCACCTCCTCCCTGACAAAGGTTTGTGTTGGTGGGGGGAGGGGCTTGGAAAAACAAAACCAGCCTGTGTATTTCAAAGAGGATGTCATTACTTCTCATTGACTGAAAATAATCTTAAAAATTGTTGGCAGGGCTTTGTTGGAAAGGGGGAAGCAAAGGCCATGCACACTGGCTCGTCTGGTGTTAGAATAATGGCTGTCCTGCCCCATGGCATCACGTTCCGTCTTGCTGACCTGGCTCTCCTGGACTGGGCAGGTGCACGAGCTGGATGAAAACATTCAAAATGAAAAGGGGGTGGGAAGCTAGTACATTGGAGATGTGAAAAAGAGGGTGGGGGTGTGCAAAAGACAAAAAGCCCAGGTTCATCCAACCATGTAGACTGTCTAACTAAAAATAAATGTACATTTTCTCGGTACTCACGTACAGGATGGGAGCACTCAAACTGAGAAAGTCGGTCACATGCAGAGCAAATCATCTCGCCTCCTCTAAAGGTGAGGAAAAGCCGAGGCCCTCGAGTTTGCAGAACAGGCAGCCAGTGCCCAGTTGTGGGCCCCCTTTTCCTGAACTGGAAAGTGAATGAACACCCATGTCTCTTCCACTGCAGATCATCAGACATTGTTAATCCTTGGAATGAGGGAAACTTTGGAGTTCTTTGAAGATACTAGTCTGATGAGGGCTTGGGACAGTGGATTCACCACTTCAGTTCCTTTCATCAGAGTTTGGTTGTGCTTTAGTGTTTCAGAGCATCATCCATTTTGCCTCACGTTGAGCCTCCCATGCAAGTCGGTTAACCCCCACTTCATGTGAAATTTCATAAGCCAGTTTTTCTGAATTTGTGCTTGGGCCGTGATTATTTTAGGAGGGAAGAAACATCATATATCTATATCACTGTTTTACATTGATGTCTCTTAAACACATGTGTTTTTTTTTTTCCCCAGCATGTGTTTCTTTTTAAAGTCTGTATTTGTCATCAGCGGACTGATGGCTTTGTGATAAGTTTTGTAAGCCGCCATCTCTCCCTTCAGAACATTAATGATTTCGGGGGAATAATGCCCCAGCAGAACTTTGGGCTGGGATGTCTTACTGTGGGTCGTGTTATGACAGCTTATGGCATCATAATCGGTTTCCTCAGATCTAGTGCACACTTGCCCAGAGCTTTCAGTGCCTGAGGCCAACAAGATCTCTTCCTGCCTTGAACCTTGCTTCCTCCTACAATAGTGGTTCTCAAAATGTGGTCCCCAGACCAGCCAAAGCAGCAGCCGCAGCACCTGGAAATCTGTTAGAAAAGAACACGCTGGGGGTGAGGCCCGGGGAGACTTGTAGGACAAGTTTGAGAGTCACTGCTCTTTACAGTCTACTGAGGTTATTCTTGTCTGAAGGACGAGCATATAGCTGTCCTTGCGTAGCTTAACTTTTCTCTGCCAAATCACTTGTTTGTTCACTCACTCACTCACTCACTCACTCAAAGGATACAAAAAGGATACAGCAAGTACTTCTAACCCGAATTCTCCTCCCAACGCCCAGTCCCATCTTACTTCCTCCTTGATCCACATACAGAGTCAAGACAGCCAACCACCCCTTCCGCCTTCACTACCACTGGCACCACCACTGTTTTGGTTTTTGCTTTTAGGTGTATTGCAAATACCAGCGTGGCTGTTCTTGTTTTACTATTGCAAGTTTGCTTGCTGGCCCTAGTGATTCATCTTCACTGTCCTCTCCTGTCACTTGCCCTGCAAGTGTCAAGTTTCTGCTTTGTACGTGCTGCTGCGTCATACACACAGGTGTCTCCTCTCACTACTAGAATTTAGGTTTTGATTATGCCTTTATCCCCAGTGCCCTGGCACATGGTAGGTGTTAAGAAAATGAAGTTACATTTCCTTCCTCCTTTCCTGCTTTATTGTCTTTTATGTACTTATGTACTACTGAAAAATTTGAATTCAAGCAAGAGTACACTTCTATGTAAGAGGCATATCTCCCTTTAAAAAGTTCATTTTATATATATGGTTATGTAACCAAAATTTTTATTTTGAAATTTACCATTCTTTTCCAGTGTGGTAACTCATACATCATCTCCCCTTTTTACGCATGTGACTTCTGTCCCTGGGCTGGTTAATAACTGTTAACCTCATCTCATTTAATAACTATGGCCGTATCATCCTGCTGTTTGGGTGGGATGCTGCATGCCCCCCTCCCTCCTTGTGACATTATTACAGCGCTCTAATTGAATGCTGATCAATAGCAGTGTTATTTCAACCACATCCTAGTGTTAGTATTAGTTTTCTAGAGCTGTGTTAAAAATATATAAAAGTAGGTAAGAGTAGTTAGTAATTATCTGACTTAGCCTAATAATACACCCAAAATAGTTCAAGAATTAATTTGAAATTATTAAATGTTGGAGTCAGCTTTAAATTAGTTAAAGTTAAATAAAAATAATAATTCATTTCCTTGACCACACTAGCTATATTTCAAATGCTCAGTACCTCCATGTGACTGGGGGCCACTGTAACGGATAGCACTGCTCTAATCTTTGAAACGTTGGCCACACTTCAGCCCTTAGACTCATAGATTTCCCTACAGTTATGTCTCCTGTTTGCCTCACAGTGCAGACTCCCCACATTTTCTCTTTCTCTGGGAAGTTGTCTGTGTTTTCATTTCCGTATTGTAGTCACGACTCCCAAAGCCACAAGTCTAAGTGACAGCCATGGGATTTTATTTACTGCATTGTATTTGATTTCCAGCCTTATGTTATTACTCATACTCTGAAATGATGTAAAAATAGGTAACTGGGGAAATGCATGCATAAACAGGCCGAGTCCCAGGGTTTTGTTGCAGTATACTGTGTTCTTTCAAAAAATCCTAACAGTATGTGGAATAGTGTGTTCTGTATGGTGTTTGCTGCAACTAATAGGAACCACTCTTTAAGTGCTTCAACCAAAAAGGGATTTAATACAGGGATGTAAGTGCTTATCAATTTCCTGGAAGGGTCAGGAGAACAAAAATCAAAGGGCCACCTTGCCCTTTTGGCTTCACGTAAAAGCCAGACACTGAAGCTGTGAAAATGCAGACCTTGTGCTTGTGTTTCTACTGATGCCCAAAGGCTGGTGACTAGACAGGGGCCAGTTGCTGTGGACGCTTGTACTGATGCGAGCTTCTGATTGGTGGAACCTACATTGTATCCAGAACCTCAGATGCAGGGACACCTGAGTGGAGGCAAACCAGCCAGGCTTTTTATTCGTTACCCATGATTGTGGCCTGACTGCTAAACTGGGCCATGTACACCATCATGGAGAATCCTCATCCTTTGAGACGATCAAAGGCAGATGTGGTGACCCTGATCTTATGGCCTGCTAATGAAGAGAATGTTGTACAGTTGAATTTCTAGTTAAGAACTCAGATATGGCTGCAGAGTAATGATGCTTTTTCTTGTGTGGCAGGTACTGCTTCCTGAAGACAATTCCAGAAAGGATTCTGGTGTTTCTAGAGTAAAATATTTAGTCCTGAAAGGATAACTAGTTTGGATTGAGGTCCTTTCTTCCTTTCTCCTCCCCAGCCCTGCGAGATGTTGATGTGCTTCAGAAAGAACTCTGCAGCGTAGTATCACCATTACAGATTTCTGCTGGAATTTGTTCCCTTTGAAATGATCTCTTTGGTAGGCATTCCACTCTTGTGTGAGGTCTAAAGTAGGATGAGGTGTGACTCCCCCCCCCTCCATTCACGAGGGATACGTGCCTTTCCTTCTCTCCTCTCCGGATCCTTGTCTGCCCTCACCAGCCACTGTGTAGGGTTAACTGTGGTAAAGTGCTGCTTCCTGATGTCATGTATTTAAGTGTTTGTCCCCTTTTCTCACCTGTAGGGCTCCTTGGTAATGGCCAGTCTAAGGGATTAGGACCAGCATCAGAACAGTCAGAGAATGAGAAGGACGATGCATCCCAAGTGTCCTCGACTAGCAACGATGTTAGTTCTTCAGATTTTGAAGAAGGGCCGTCGAGGAAAAGGTTAGTACCCAAGGCTGAAAACATTGGTGCCTTAAACCAGGGACTTCAAACTAGGTGCCAGTTTTTTGGCCCCGTTGGAACATACTTGGGCCCAACCTGATCTCCTGATTTTTTTTTTTTTTGATAGACGAGTCAGAATTTTGGATTTTAGTTTAAAATTTCCTGGTTTCTAAATACTGTCCACTATTTACAATTAAAAATGAACAAACCAAACAAAAACAAAAAAAAACAAAAGGCTTTGGGCCAAACAAAACATTTTCCTGCCGTAAAAATTGGTTGAGAAGTTGCCAACTTGTAATTCCTGTCTTTACTGTTCATTTTAATTGATTTTCACCAGTTGTATTCTTGAGTATATTAGATACTATTTTGCAATTGCTCAAGAGATGTTTCCTAAAATTTGAAGACTTAAATGTGGCGTTTCTGAAAAAATTTCCCCATCATCAGGAAAGCAAAATCCACTTGGTATGCAACCAACTTAGTAGATGTTTAATCGGTTGTTAAAACTTTTATCGGGAGGTTTTAAATTTTTTTTTTAAATGACTTTCCTAAATAAGCTTAAGATAGTTTGATCAGGAAGTTGGCTGTGGTCGTTTGATAGGAGTTGTGGCTTAATGGTCAAACAGGGACAGTGACATTATATAATAATACTTTTAATTGAGTGTTTAAAAAACACTTTGCTGGTTATCTGCCTCATTTTGTGTCATGTGTTGTCTCCCCCTTGCCCCCAATTTAGAATTCATATTTCATTTCTTTCCTTTTCCGTTCTCATACTCGGTGTTTTCCTGGATGAGTAGGTTAATTACTTTTTCTTAGAATCTGTTTGTTTGAAAGGTTGGGGAAAGGGGAAAACAAATCCCCTGAGCTGGCCTTTGTTTACCCTTTCCATAGAATTATAGTTACTTTTCAGAAACTATCTAGCTGTGTGTATGTAATGAACTGAGTATGGTGGAAAATTAAGAGGAAACAATTAAGAGCGACCACGTGTGGATATTTAAAAATCCTTCACCAAACTGTACTTTAGATCTGAAATTTGAGATGGGCAGCTCCAAGTCTTTGTTTTCCTCTACCATGCAGTGTCTTCGTTTTAGAACATCCATGGTATAGACTCTGTGTTAATTTCCATCCCCTCTTTTTCTCTTAATCCTCAGCGCTGTGTCTTAGAAGGTGTCATTGGATTTGTTGTTAGCACAGTTAGCCTGCATGTGTAGGAAGTGTCTCTGCCAGTGTACTGGACTTTGCACGTTACTCTTTTTAAAGACACTTGAGTGAGTGTAGCCGTGCTAAGCCCTCTTTGTTTCGGGTGCTCTGTGACAAACATTTGCTCTGCCCCAATTTGAAAAATGCATCATCTCAAGAGAGGGAGTTCAAGGTTTGTTTGTTTGTTTAATCACATCACGTATTGGAATGTGTAATAATATTATCCATGTTTACAGACATGAGTGGAGGGTTATGCATCTAGCATCATCTTCACCTGTGTTTGGGGAACAGAAGTCTGTGAGTTTGGTAGGAAAGGACAACACCCTGTCCTTCAGCTACATGACTGCCCATCACCTTCACCCGTAGGAGGATCTGGTCAGCGTGGGGGTATGATGACAAAGGTCCTAAGGCTTCATTCTCTTGGGGTGGGAGTGGGGGCCATTTGTCCCTGGCTCCTAGTGCCCTTCTCAGATGACAGTGCTGCTGGCTTCCTCTTTGCCTGGGACTGTGTGGCAGCTGTGTGCAAATTAGTCAATTAACTTTAGTTCTCCAGGGCAGAGCAAAAGAGAAACTTGTTCAGGGTGAACTTCATGAAAACATAACCATTTCTAATCTGCTTTAATTATTAGCATGCCGGCTACCTTGTTTTACTGAATTAAGGGTACATAACAGCATTTTGGCGGATTATAATCACACTCTGCTAGTGAAATCCATCAGGGGCATAGTGTAGATCAAGGATTGACAGGTTAGGCTGGATTTAGGGCTGGTGTAGGGTGGCCTGCATTGCAGAAGGGGGTTTTGTAGTTTACGAATGAGTAGTGTAGTTAGGGCATAAATTTGTTGCAGTGTTGCAGGGTACGTAGCAAATACAAAATAATAACTTTTAATACTTTTTTGGCTTTTAAGAGCTCATTTGTTCTGATCCCTTGTTGGTACTGAACATAAACATTTAGTATAAATTACTGGGTATGAGCCCTGCCTTCTAAGAACTGGAATCTCAGTTCCTGGAGCTTGTTGTCAGTTAGTGTCAGACTTCAGTGCTCAGCCTTCCTTCATCTCCCATATAATGTACCTTTTCTAATAGATTGAGGAGTGTGCTGTCTCTGCTGATGCCAAGCCAAGCCAGGAGTAACTACCTAAAGTGATTTTAAAATGTTGCTTCAAGCACTGGATGGATTGTTGACTAGATGTTACTTTTTGCCTTGTGACTAAAATTCCCAAAGTCTTGTAAATATGCATGAGAAGAGCATGTTTTATGATGGGCCACTTGCATTCTCTGTTGGCATTTAGACTTTCTAGGAGGGAACACACTGAATCCTAAAATTCCAGAGTCGTGATTTATGTATTTGCCTTGGAAAAAGCTCTCTCTCACTCCCTTGCTCCCTCTCTTAAGAGTGATACGAATTACTAGCTATTCTTGTACAGTTAATTGCTCTTTCTAGGTACATGTTTTTAGGATCACCAGTTAATGAGCCTTTTGTCTTGATGGGGGAGGGAGAAAGGCAGGAAATTTATGTGTCTGGCTTCCTTAAGAAAAATTAAAATCTGAGGTGTAAGCTGCGCAAGCCTCAGTTTATCCCTTGCCCTGATTTTCCAGCCTGCAGTTTGAAGCAATTCCATTTTCTGACTGATGCCTGTAACACGTTTCTTAAGTCTTTAGTCAAAACATCCCATGTGTTTACAATGTGTTATTTTTCTACGGGAAGCCCCCTACGCTATGTTTGGCCCTGTGTCCTTAGTGCCATTGGTTTTGTGTAAGATGGGAATCTTTTTGGTACATAGAAAGCAGTAGAATCCAGAGTTCCATAGGATTTATTTTTCTTTATTGAGACAAAAATAGAAGGTATCTCTTTACCTAGCCATTAAATCACTCTGTAAAAGGAAGAGCCAACCTCTAGAAGCTTTTTGCCTGTTTGAAGGACAGGGCAGCCCAGCCAGTGCAGATCTGAAGGATTCAGTGCTGGTGGGAGTTCCTCAGGGTTGGTTTTCTGTTTCTTTTGATCATTGTGGTAGGTAGTTTAACAAATCATTTAAAAATTTCATACATTAATTAGTTATTACTATTTAGAATGGAAACATCAGAGAGACCCTCAGTCTTTAATCAGCCCCTTCTAAATTTGTTGGTGGCCATGCCTGGCTCCTTAGCTCCTCCCCATTATATGGCTCCTCTCCTTACTCTCGGTTATTGTAAAAATTTGTGTTTCCTGCAAGAAATATCTGATTTCTAAAAAGGAAACCAGAATGGACAGATGTTGTCCGTCAGGTGTGGCTGGGCTGTGAGAAACACGGGAATGAGGGTTGTGATTGGGGTGAGGATGGTGTTTGGCTGGTGGAAAGGAAAGTGCAGAAACGTTGGTGATGGTGTACTTTTAGGTGTAAGTACATGAGAGATCCAGGAGGGGTCACCTGAATCAACCACTCAGATATCTAGCCACATTAACTGTGTGTCCTGATTTTCCTTCCTCTTGAGGGGTGGAGGGGATAGGTAGGGGAAGTGTAAAGGCAGTGGTAGTTATCAGGGATGTGTCACAGGGACCTGGCATGTGGCACTGTGGTTAATTACGACTGTGGGCTGGAGCCAGACAGTATGATTTCTGGCAAGGCTATGTACCCGTCACGTGCTCGTGGGCAGGTTCCGTAACATCTCTGGACCTCAGTTTCCTCATCTGTAATATGTCTGTTGACAGTACTAACCTCTTGGCGGTGGTTTGGTGTACTGAGCAAGTTAATTCCGGCGGAGCTCCCTGGTGCGTGATGAGTACTGCGTGTTCGGTATTACTGCTTACTGTCATCTGCGTATTTGACACATGGGTTGCTACATGGGCGCAGGCACGTTCATTGAAGACTTCTCTGATGTGTTTTAGGGAGATTGTGATTTATGCAAATTGTGATTTATCTCTTTTCTCCACGGCCCCGTCACTGCCACCACCACGACCTGTGGGCGTGTGTCCCTCTTTTTTAAAGTTACTGAGTCGCAGGAAGGACCCTAGTGGTGTAAGGTGTGAATTTCCTCCGCAGAGCTCCGTGTGACTGGGTATTTGCTTGCCCGGGGCAGGCACGAGTGGGGTGAGGTTGTAGTTGGTGAAGGTGTTGCCAAGCAGATGACATCTGGGCTGTTCACACATAAGTCATCGCTTCACCTTGGGGCAGCCCCTATTTTGCTAGGTTCTTGCTAAGGTCCCGGACACACTTTTAAAAACAAACTCCATGACAGTCTACTGAACTAGCTTAAAAAAATAAAGAAAGTACAGACTGTGCCTCTTCAGGGATTCAAGTGTTTTCTTTTTATTAAACAAAGAGCTGCTGCATTTTAGTTATTTAGGTGTTTGCTAATGTAGGACTTACTGAGCTCAAAGACAGTGAATCCTGCTCTAGGAGTTTGGACTTTGAATTTGGGGAATTACTTAAAGGGTGAAGACTTGGTGCAGTTCAGATTTCGGGTGTAAATATGTATTGAAGGTGATGGGGCTTTTAACACATGCTCCTTTTAAAGCTAAATTGTCAAATGGTACTGTTTTGCTTATTTATGTTCTGAGTGACTATGTTGACATGAAACACTGTGCTACTCGTGGGAAGAAAGATAGGCCTGAATGCATAAGATTCTTGCTTGGCAGCACGCAGTGTTGGAAATTGGAGTTACTCAATGTGAACGCCCTTAAGAACTGGAATTGTAGATGCCTAAATAGTTTTTACGTATCCCTTTAATAAAATGCGTTAGCAGAATGGTTTAATGTTAAAAGCACTACTAAATTCTAGAGCTATCTTGACTGAAACACGTTTTCCACCTTATAGGAAGTAAAAAA